CCCCATCTAGTGGTCGTTAGTAGAAGTGCAGCTCCAGAAGTTTGTCACCTCTCAGCTGTGATTGTTGCTGCTTGAGTGAATCTGTCAGAGAGTCTTCGAACTGTGGAACACTGGAAGATGACGAGTCTGCCTACTTTAAACTGCTGCCACAAGACAGAGCTTGAATATAGCCTGATTCCTGTTTCTCCAATAGTGAGTAAAAGTACAGGATAAAATTGATTTTAAAAAGTCTTTTGTGTATGATTTCTACCCAAGATGAGTAAAATATAGAATGCTCGCAAGTGAAATCTCCTAATCCCATTGCGAGTGTATTTAGCTCTTTTACACTGTTTGAAACAGAGTTGTTGCAGTCCTGTACTGATGTGCAGTGTCCTCTTTCTGTTTTAAACATCCCTATTCTTTCTGACATTTCTGTGGGCTTCCAGAGGGAAGGCTCATAACAGAGACTGACAGAGTGAGGATGGAAATATTAACAGTGGAGACATTTGGGAGAGGTGAGATAGTAGCAAGACACAGCCATAATGCATAATGCATCAGAGACGGTGAGAAGAAATTGGGGAGCAAGGGGGAGGATGTACCCATTCATTCACTTCACTACCACTAATGTGCCCCATGGCTTGACAGCTGATAGGTCTATCTTGCTACCTCTGTATCTGGCTTAGCATCGCCATTCTGCTGCTGTTTGAGCTGACCGACTAAGTAGTGTTTTGAAGAAACGTCGTATTATGAAAGCTTCCAGTCGCATTTATTGCTAATTTGATAGGGTTTAATTGGTGCTGAAAAGTCGTTAGTGTTTCGGACACGGGTGCTTGCCATATACTGGCAGTGCAGTGACATACATTTAAAAAAAAATAAAGTACAGCAAAAAAGTCCAAGAGACATTGACAGTAATTTGCTGTTTCAGGTGTTAAAGAACCAATGAATGCAAAGTGCTTTATGTGTTTGGGAAAAAAGGCATAAAAGTTGTAGCGTGTGAATCCATCTTTAGCTGAGCAGAGCAGCAGAGTGACAGTGACAGAGCGCTGGGCGTCTCGCTCTGCCTGGTTATCACTGTCAGGGACCAGTCTGCTGCACCAGCAGGCCCAGCACTGTGATAACCACACAACTTACAGCCCCTTTATCATAATTAGCTTTTCCTTTTTAGCCTTAAAAGGCCTTCCATTACTGGGTCCTTCTCTATCGGGCCACTGACACACCACACGATTGGTTTCTCTCTCAGTGGACCTCTCAGTATAGTCCCCCAAAACGGGGGAGCCGGGAGAGAGAAGAGCAGTGCAATGGAGGCAGATAAAGAGGCTTGTTTATTGAATGAGAGAATAAGACGGAGGGATGGTTGAGTAAAGAAGCATTTCCATGAAGTTGGAAGACTACTGACAGTAGGGATGCGCGAGGCTGTTTTATCATGGCTGACTGTTCTGTGCTTGAACTGTGAATATTGAGCACAGCACCACTTGTGTAGTTAAGGAGGTGATGGTCAAATGTTGTCATGCTAATTTGACAAGCCTCAGCTTCCTATTTGGTGGAAATGACGAGCTACAGAATGAAATTTGTGCAAGTATATATTTTCTATGTGGGGACGATGGCTTTTAATTTGGTATGGCCATTAGATTACATGGAGGTGTTTGCAGCTTCAGACAGCATACTTCCTGTTGTCTCACATGGAGCTTGGAAAGGCTTCTACAAAAACTTTTATATCAAGATTCAGTAGTTGGCTTTTTGTGGCGCTCGTGTGTTGTGTCATGTGTTGTCTGTCTGCCAACGATATGTCATTAAAAGACAAATAAAATTCACTTTCCGTTCTGATCCAGGTCACTAACGGCAGTCAGTGGATTCGATGCTGTGATATGGCAAATGTGCTGCAGATGCTTTGACACCTCTTTAATTTTAGCAACACAATTTTCTTTCTTCATGCGTAAGGACTTAGCTGTAAATAAATATCGCCTTTATGGTGATGTCTCAGGTGGCAGCTTCCTCAGCACCTCTCTTGCTTTTTTTTTTAGAACAGTGAATATGCTTGAAAGCAGCTCTCAGTAAGAGCTATGACGGGGGAATTCTGTATGCATCCATTGAGTGTTGCTAACTGAAAACATGGGCTTGTGTTTAGGAAAGGATAAGACATGCAGACTTATTTAAACATATCTGTTTTTAAGAGTGTATTCAGTCACTCTGGGCTCCATTCATACAGGCCAGGGCCTTGTTTACTGCTGATAACCCATCTTATCACAGCACAATGGATGTGGCCGCCTGTTTCTCACTGGAGATAAACAAAGAAAGACTATCCCTCTATTTCTCTCCTCTACTGTTCCTTCCTTCTCATGTGTACATCCATTCTCTGAATGTGCCTCCTTTTCTCAGTTGTGTACCAATAATATGTTTTGCTCTTGGTCTTTTTGCTGTATTTCTCTCATTTTGTGGCGTGTTCACGGCGAGTCTTTGTTGTCTTTACTGCACCGCTGTTTGATCAGTTATTGTTTTTAATGGCGTAAAGAAAGGGAAGTGTGGAAATATCTTGCAATAAAACGGCTTTCAAAAGTCTAATGTCTAATAGAAATACTCAGCCTAAAGGAAGGCCTTCTGCAAAAAATGGTAACCACGCTGTGCTGGAATCGACCCATTTGGTGTAAGGATACACTGATGTGACCATTTGGACTGGGAGTGTTGGCAGTACTGACCTTGCAAAGGATCAGTGTGACACCATTGATGCCCTGTTCACAAATCCACAAGCCCACGTTTAGCTCAAAGGGTGCAGAAGGGTTGGACATGGACCTCATTGTGGTCATCTATATGTATGACCGGGTAAATGTAACTCACAAGATAAACACGGCATTTTAGAATAATAGTAATGACCGTCTGGTTCATTCGTCATCCGTTATATGTGTAGATACCTTAAGCTGAGTTTGTCAAGTATTTGGGTAAACACAGAATATCCTATTTCCCAAAAACATGCACCATTCAGCTATTGCCTGTCTTCATTATTCAACCGTTTATCATCATATATAGGCCATGACTGCAAGGTGGCTCAGTGGTTAGCACCGCCGCCTCGCAGCTAGATGGTCGCTGGTTCACGTCCTGGTGAGGACACCCAGGATCTTCCTGCGTGGAGTCTCCATGTTCTCCCCGTGCAGCGTGGGTTCTCTCCGGGTTCTCCGGCTTCCTCCCACAGTCCAGAAACATGCTGAGGTTAATTGGTGATTGTAAATTGTCCGTAGGTGTGAATGTGAGTGTGCTTGGTTGTCTGTCTCTAAGTGTAGCCCTGTGATAGACTGGTTACCTGTCCAGGTGAACCTGCCTTCACCCTGAGTCAGCTGGGATAGGCTCCAGCCCCCAATGACCTGGTGAGGATTAAGGTGTAGAGATGATGGATGGATGGAAAATGAGGTGAAAGTAGGTACACAAGTTTAAAGAAAAGATGTGAGACTGCAGACAGTGTTAGATGAACATTGAAATCATTTGCGGTCACACTGACAGCATTTACATTTGATGAGATTTTTCATTTAATTACTTTTTTTTTTAATACAGTCAAATGACAGAAAATCAAGGCAAGTTGGACAAGTGCTTATAGATTTTTTTTTTTTTAAAGTAGACACCGTAGTGTCCTCATGTGGTAAATGTAAGTGGCTAGAAATGGAATCAAAATAGAGGCCGTCCTGCTATTGGAGTATAATATAGTAAATCACAGTGGACACAGTCTGGTTTCATCAGCAGTCTCTGATGGTGTGAAAAGAGAAGGTTCCCAAATTGGAACTGATGGATCCACTGGGATTGTCATGGTGTGTGTGTGTGTGTGTGTGTGTGTGTGTGTGTGGGGAGGGGGACTTAATAGTTATCATCGAGATCTCTGGACCAGTCTGATATCATTGACCATAGGACCGAACTGGGCTCCTGGGTGCCACTAATCCTCATGGGTCTCGAAGGGCCCCTGTTTTTTTTTTTAGGACTTTCTAATTGTCCTTATATGGAGTTTTCAGGAGTAAAATAGCAGAGCACAGAGCGATTTCGCTGTGGCAG